TCGCTCGGGCCAATGGCGGCCGAGCGCCAGGCCCGCCCTCCTCCAATGGGAGGAGCCGGTCTTGGTAACGGTGCGCCAATGGTGGGGGAAGCCGGAGTCCTTGGTAACCAGGCCGGGGCCGGGCCGGGCCTCCTTCCAGGGATGTGGACCTGCGGAGGCCGGAGGCGGCGGAGGGTCCTGGGGGCCGTCCTCTTGGTCCTGCTGGCCGCCGTCGTGGTGCGCAGGTGAGGCGGGCAGGAAAACGGAGAGAGCCACCGTGACCCTGAGGCGGAGGGAGGGGGCGGGGCCTGGGCGCCGAATGCCAATAGAGACACGCCCCCGGCCCCATAGGCCCCGCCCACCTCCCATGTTCTCCCTCAGCAGTCCCTCAGAGAAGTTACTTTTTTTGGAGGGGCTAGGAGTGCTGGGAGTTGCAGTCCAGAAGGGGTCTAGAGAGGGCTTGTTGGGTGCCATTTCTGACTTATGGAGACCCTGAGATGAACCTATTCATGGGGTTTTCATGGCAAGTTCCTTCAGAGGGAGGGGGTGTCATTGCCATCCTCTGAGGCTGAGAGAGTGTGACTTGTCCTAGTTGTTGTTGTGGGTTGCCTTCAAGTCCTTTCCTACTTATGGCAACCCTAAGTTGAACCGATCACAGGGTTTTCTTGGCAAGTTTTTTCAGAGGTTTGCCACTGCCATCCTCTGAGGCTGAGAGAGTGTGACTCACCCAAGTTCATTCAATAGGTTTCCATGGCCGAGCCAGAATTTGAACCCTGGTCTCCAGAGTCCTAGTCTTACACTCAAAGCACTACGCCACACTGACTCTTGGTTTGACAGCTGCCTATTCCTATATTCCCAATCATGGTTTAATGATTTTGAGTGCTGGAATATAATAATAATAATAATAATAATAATAATAATAATAATAATAATAATTGTTTCTTACTTGAATCTCCTCATGGATTGAGGCAGGGGACTACAACAATTGACAAACAACATCAATTAAAACACATCAGTTTAAATAATTCAACATAATTTTAATTGTTTTATTTTCATAGCAATGTTTTATTAACGTTTTGACTTGTGAGCCGCCTTGAGTCCCTTGTTGGGAGAAAGGAGGCATAGAAGTGAAATTAGTTAATTAGTTAATTAAAAAGGCAATTAATGTCCACATATTAAAGCATATTAATACACATCTCTCTATATATATATATTTTAAAAAATCCACATTTAAGATCCTTATGATTCTGGAGACTGGGATTCGAATCCTGGCTCGCCTATGTAAACCCACTGGGAGACCTTGTGTGTGTGTCACACTCTCTCAGCCTCAAGGGAAGGCAGTGGCAAACCTCTGGACCATGAAAAACCCATGATACATTCGCTGTAGAGTCGCTATAAATCGGAAATTATTCGAATGCACATAACAACAAACAATTCCTAATCTGGATTAGCAATGGAGGAGTGGGATGGACAATCCTATTATTTTAATCTTTTTTAATAACAATAATAAACAACAACAACAACAACAACAACAACAACAATAATAATAATAATTTATTGTAACCATGCCTGCTGACCAGCCAAGGGTTCAGTTGGTTTATTCAGCAGAAATCAAGGATTATACGTTGTTCTTAGGCTGATCTGCACTACAGAAATAATCCAGTTTGAGTCTGCTTTAACTGCCATGGCTCAATGCTTTGCAGTTCTGGGATTTATAGTTTTGCGAGACATTTAGCCTTCTCTGTCAGAGAGCTCTGGTGCCACAAGAAACTACAAATCCCAGGATTCTGTAGCACTGAGCCAGGGCAGTTAAAGTGGTATCAAACTGGATTAATTTTTGCAGCATGGCAGTAGCCTCAGCTACATTGCTTCAGGCTAGCAATCGGAATCTCATAGCTAATAGCTAATGTATAGCTATAAAGAAATATAAATTTCTCTATATAGAAATAAATATATAGCAATATAGAAATTTGCATATAGAAATATAACCAGTTAAGGTTTAAGGTTTCCAGGACAGTTTGAGGGACTGTCTTTCTATTATGAGAGCCAGATTGGTGTAAGTGGTTTGGGTGTTGGAATAAGACTCGAGACCAAGGTTCGAATCCCCACTCAATCATAGAGATCCATCTTGGGCAAGTCACACTCTCTCAGCCTCAGAGGAAGAGAAAGGCAAACCCCTTCTGAACCAATCTTGCCAAGAAGACCCCATGATAGATTTGCCTTAGGGTCTCCATAAGTCAGGAAGGACTTGAAAGTATGCAACATGTCAAAAAAGTAACTTTTTTGAGCATTATCTCCCTCTCCCTTCATGCTCTTGGGACGATGGGTTTTCTGATACCAGGTCTACAGATAAAATATGTTGATTTACAACTATAAGCTGAATCCTGAAACCACATAAGTAATTAAATGTTTTATCTAAGAGTTCAAACCATGAGTCCCAAGTTCCTCTTAGTTGAGGTCAGACTAGATGCTCTCAAGGTATAATTTTCTATGATGAAGACATTTTCACATTTAAAGGCCCAAAGTCAATGATCAGTAGTAAACTAGAGTTCACCCATATTCCTAACAAACACGGGGGAAACCATATAAGTTTTGTAATATAATGAACTGAAATTATAAACGTTCTTCTCACCCCGCCACTGTTTTATATAACCGTACAAACATGCCCACTCTTTCTAAAATATTTATCTATAGTTTCATCTCTAAGCAAACATTTCAATTTATCTGCCTCCATATATTCACATAGCTTAATTAAGAGCGTTTGTACCTTGATTGGTTAGAAAAGTTGAATTTAAAATAAAATAAAAGATGTATATAGATTATAAAGTAGTTCAGAGTAGAGAAAATGTATGGTTATAGCATATGAAAAATGGAAAAACAGAAAGTAATAAGAGAATGGAAAGGTGGCAAAAATAAATATTTTAGAATGTATGTTTAGGTTTTGTTAGTATGTCTGGAGTTGTTTGACGTTTGTCTGTTAAATGTTTGTAAAACAGTATGTTTGTATGTAAATGTGATGTAAATAAAAAAAAAGTTTTTTTAAAACAAAGAAATTACACAAGCCAAAAAAAAAAAAAATCAAGGAAGTAACTAATAATTATGTAATTATAATAATATTTTTGGTTTGTATAATTTCAGTTCATGATATTATTAGTAGTTATTCTCTGTACATTCTCCAGTTACTTTTTTTGTTCATTATTTTCCAATTATGCTTGGTACCTATACGGATTTCCCCAACTTTGTTGGACACAGGTTTCATCCACACCGCAGCAATAATCCGGTTTGACGCCGGTTTGAACGGTAGTTTGTTGTAGCAGCAGAGGTGGTGCCAGAACAAACTATAAATCCCAGAATTCCATAGCATTGAGCTAAGGCACTTACAGTGGTGTCAAACCAGATTATTGCTGCAGTGTGGATGCAGCCACAGTTTTCCTTTTGAGACCCTCCTGTGTTTCTTTAAGGTTTACAACTTCTACCATCCCTGCTGACGGTTTTGGAGGATGATGGGAGTTGCAGTCAAGTATATCTGTGGCTGGACCAGAATGTGAAGATGTTGGTTTAGAATCTAAAACTCTGCTTCTCATCCTTGGGAACCCCTAAACTCCAGTTTTAAAGGAGGAATTCTGTGTCTTTCTGGATTCACCCCATCCATATATTCTTTATATTTCATCCTTTCCTCTCATTGCAAATACTGTATTAAGAAGTTTGCCAACTAACCAGGAGAAAAGAAGCACCCCTTCGCCTGATGTTATGTTTGCTTGTTTCTAAATTGTGTTTTAAAATTTATTTTAATTTTTTTAATTAGAATTATTATTCTCTCTTCTTGAGCATGCAAAATAAGTACTGTAAGTGAAAGTCTTTGTAATTGTTACTTAAAGCCAACACCTTATCCTCAGTATTATTCAGGACTGTTTGTTGACATGGACAGAAAAGCAGAAAAGTGAGAAATTTCGGTGGACCAAAAAATGTTTTCCACACAATTTCACATCCAACTCAGATATATTAAAAACCTGAGATCTGTCAAAAAGCGAGTACCAATCGGAGGGTTTGATGGGTTTGTTCACCTGTTCTGTCGTTGCGTAGGTGGATCTGCTGTTTTAAAATGGTCTTTTTTCACATACAGTGGTATGAAAATTGAATGATTCTTGCTTCTGTAAGATGGATGCAACAGACAGAGATGGATCTATTAGCCACCAAAGTATTATTATTATTATTAGTTTATTTATATAGCGCTGTAGATTTACCCAGCGCTGTACATACGGTCAATAAAATAGATAAAAATAGATTAAAAAAAGCCTGCCGATGGCATCCATTCTACAAAACCATAAAATAATACATACTAATACAAAGAAGGCAACAAATTAAAAACATCAAATGATCATGGTTGTGGTGCTCTTCACTAAGATTACTAACACAATTTTATTTTCAATTGTTTTGAAATTTTATTCATATTTCAAACACAATGCAAACACATTTTAGTTTCAGATCAGTAGTGGTGCAGTGCCATAATAATCCTGATACATATATCTATCTACGGTATTTTAAAACAAATTCCATGATAGTTCTTCCATTTACTTCCATTATTCCAATCTCTTATCATTACTTAATAACATCTGTTTTGACTTTTCTACTAAAATATTATTTACATTTTATTTTATATATTATTCTCCCGCTGATCCTTCTATTTTCCCTCCATTTTTCCTTATGCACCCTTTCTTTATATCGCATACAACTTTGCACCAGCAATAAACTAACTTTTTCCCATAAGAACCTCTCATTCAACCTTATTTGTAAGTCCCAGAAGTTAACTTGGGGGGGAAAAAAATCTATATTTCCCTGCAGATCAAGCAAGTAACAAGTCAGTTAGCAGACAGACCTAGGAAAGGAAAATTCCTTTTTTAATCTCTAGTGGATGAAAGACAAACTGTAATTCATTTTTTTCTTTTTCTCTTTACTTACCTGTTAAATATAAAGTTGTTAAATATGAAGGTTGCCTCTCATTGTTAATGGGTCCACTTGGTTTCATTTTCATCATATGTGTCTCCTGCATCTACACTTTAAAAATAATGCAGTTTGATGCCATCTTTGGGGCTGTATAGCTCCATCCTACAGAATTTTGGGATATGTAGTCTTACAAGATCTTTAGCCTTCTTTGCCAAAGTCTTCTGGTGTCTCAACTAACTAGAAAATCCCAAGATTCTGCCAGATGGAGCCATGGCAGTTAAAGTGGTGTCAAACTGCATTATTCCCACAATGTAGATGCACCCCTAGACCAGTTAGACCGCAGCATGAAGATCATGTCCCTTTTAAACACTTCCCTGCTGTACATCCAACGCTGGTTAGCTTACTATGCCTAATATTTAGGAAATATTTTTATTGAACTGTTACTTGCAGAATCCTTTGGCCTGGCTAGGAGAGGGATTCTTGCAATTACATTCTTAGGATATAACTTTTTCAAGCTCTGCTCCTTGTGATAGTTTGGAAATATGACTTTTTTGGGGAGGGGGGGGGAGAAATCCAGAATCTCTCAGCCAGCATGCTGTTTATGAGATTCTGATGACTATATTCCAGTGAAGTAACTTGCAAGTTCTACTCCTGCCGGCTATAACCAGCCAGCAATAAGGAAAGAAATTCAATTCAACAACTACATATTATTCTTCACTTGCATTATAATGTTTACAATGAGAAGTAATTTCTCTCGAGGTGAAATCTCTGCATCCACTCTATATAGGTCTGTATTTACTGCAGGTTATCATTCTTTGGTATCTCAGTTATTATTATGACTTGGGAGAAGGAATGCACAGGTTTATTGCATCTTAGTGT